CCTGCGTTAGACATCAAAGGACCACCTCCCCCTACCCCCCAAATGGCCCAACCATATACAGAAAGCATCGTCTCAGCGTGTGCTAAACGTGTTTTTAAAACAACAAGTATCATCTCTTGCCGAGGCTGTAGAATCAAAATCATTTTCTTTTATGTTTGGACGTATAGATATACCTATCTACCCCCTATGAAGTTTGTTCGGTGTATAATATATACCCGAAAGTTTTGGAATTCAATATTTTTCTCTTTGTAATCTTCCCGTATATCCATCATATTATATATAGTATTTATATATTGCATTCCCCTCTCCCCCTCTCATATCTATATACTAATTCAGGATATAATGCTGTCACTCGCTTTACTTTGGAGGGTTGACTGCGTCTCAAAGAGAAAAAAACATTTTCGGTAAAGGGATTTGCTCGAATAAGAAAACATATTGTGTAAGAGAACCATGAGGTATAGAGGGCGAGTCTAAGTATGAAAAAAAAGTAATAATAAATATATACATATAGAGGTATTAGAGAATTTTTTGTCTTTGACGACGAGCGTTTCCGGCAACACGATTTTTACCGGAGCGATAACATTTATCACTTTAAATTCGACTGGCGCGTTATCCTTTTAACGCAATATTTTCAATAATATACGAGCGTTTTCTTTTGTGTACTCGGAACGATAGAGTAGAGACAAACAAAGTCGAATATATATCAAGTTATATAATAATATATAGACAGGTGTTCTTTTCGTCGAATCAATGTTTTTTCTGCTGGCGTTTTTTGTGAAAATAATTTTAATATTTTATACGTTTTCTTCCTATTTGTACTTACGCACTTCAACAATATTTCCGTGTCTATATTTATATTTTAATGTTTAATAACTGCACTACTATGCAGGCAGTAAATATATTTTAACTAATCTAAGATGTATATACCTGTATATAGATGTCAAGAGTATAATATCGTTTTACGTACTAATTTATATACTCCTTGAATGTGTAAAATATTTCAAATTCCGACGAACCGTTTCAATTCGTTAACGAATGATTCATTGATCAGATTTATGCGATTTTTAAACGATAATAATTTTGATATTTGGTCTTAAATTAAATTGAATTATCTATATTATGTATCCTGTTAAATAGCTGTTACCGCATAACTTATTATAATAAGTTGTATACAGTGTCGTATTTAAGGGGTGGTTAAGGGGGGAAATAGCCCCCTGGTTTATGTTAGGGGTGCTAAATTTTCACGGCAACTATAAAAAAAGTTTTCGGAAAAATTATAAATTATATGAATAATTCATATATTTTGTATACGGAGTGATCAATCTTTCATAAGACATAACATATTATCATTTTACGAATGTTCAATATTATTTTCTCTTGTAAAAGCTGATTGTTGTCCATATAAGAATAAATAAATAAATGAAATATAAAAATACTTATCAACTATATTGTGTTACAATTTACACAGTTCAAAATAGTACGCAAAGTAGCATACTCGAGTACGGTCAGATGGAAGACACCGAAATACGTACACATTAATTATTTTGTGGTGATCATCACGGCAACGGCGCACACTGATCACAATAATTAATAAACGCACGGTATCTGTATTCTGTACACGCATCTTTTAACCGTTATATTATATAATTCACTTAAAACTCCTATAGCCGTCGCGTATTCCGTCTCGATAGTTTCGTCTACATATATATATATATATATAATGTAGTGTGTGTACACGGCTCACATCACTACTCTCCGGGGATTTAATTGTCCCACGAAAAGATTAAACGGTAAACGTCACGTGGATGGATTATATAGGTAGGAGAAGGAGGGGCGGGACTTTTTCTAATCAAAACGAAATCGATCAATTACATCGACTGAAAAAATAATTAAATTGTACCGCGCGTTTCTCGAGCTGTAGCCGTGCGGCCGAACGCGACGAAATCCGCGGTGGCATTTTGTTTATCCGCGATTCGTCGTGTAGAGGTACCACTCTATTTTGAAATATCGCAAAACCGTCGACGTGTGTAAAATGTCAATAAAAAAAAAAAAACTTAATCACTAACATTTCCTCGTGTTTTGCGGGTATCCGTGCAGTGACCTACGCGGATACGACGACCTCACGACTGCCCCCCGTCGTCGGGGTCATGTCCTTCCGTCGTCGCAAACTGCACTCGAGGGACTGCACAGGACCTCTGGTGACTTTGTCATCGACGATGTGCAGTACAGTCCGAGGGGAAACAAATTCGATCTCACCTCCCGTCGCACCGGAAAAACGAGTTTAATACCGCGATTGTGTAGGTGTATAAATAGATATACCAGTGGCGCAGTATTCCCCCGCGTCTAACTTTTAGCGTTGTCTTATAACTTTAAAGTCGGTATTTCGGTTGATTTCGGTGAATTTTAGCTTTGGGATAAACAACAAATGTCAAAATATTGAAAAATGTTTCATGTGTGTAGTTATTACGTATTGGTAGTTTTTCGTTCGTATATCCTTAAAAGCCGAATACTGAAATACCACTCACTCTACACTGACTCGACTCATTATTTTATTGAATCTCATGAACGACAGGGCCTAGATACTATATTGCAATTTTGCCACAGAGGTTTCTTATATATGTTTAATGCTGACGGTGAAATAGGAAGGGATTTTTGGAAACTCGACTCCTAAATCGGAGCTCATATGCGAATCCTCATATTTAACTACGGAAATTTCAATATTTTTTCGGGGTGAAAAATAACCATTTTAGATTTTAAATAGAGGTGCGAACATTGAAGGCAGACCAGTCAATTTTTTCACCAAGTCATTTCAACTGCAGGGATGTATTTGTAAATAAAGTTTTGACTACTTTCTTTTCTACTTTATTCTAGCCACTCGTTAACTGACCGGGGCCATGATACAGGACAACATAGGGTTCCCGAAAGACACCCATCCCCAAAACGACGCTCTTGTATAAAGAATTCCTATCATCCTCATCTGCAGTCGCGACAAATTCGGTATGTCCGCTCGTCCCCGCGGTTTACCAAACATCGAAATAACGCCACTGGGACCTATAGGTGTATAGATATACCTTAATATAATATTATCAACGGCCAGAGGCTGAGGCGTTCCCTCGTGGTTCGGCTCGTTTAACATCACGATATTGTGCTCATCATGATATAATAAATTATTAAATATTTCATTATACGAACCTAATACGGCGAGCCCGCGGACGCTCGCGCGTCATCGTCCACGACACCCCCGCGCGAAAAATCGAAAATGTTTAATAAATATCGTATAATAATAATAATAATAATAGCTATACAGTATTATCATAATGCTGTACAATGCGTTTTTCGGCGTGGAATATAAAATATTACACGGCGGCGGTGCATTTTCCCTGCAATTATTATTGCTCCGGCGGTACAATAATATGACTCACTAGCTCGTTGTTGTATATTATAAAAATAAAAATCGCCACTGAACGGTTTTCCATTATACGGTCGAACGCGGCGGTATAATGAACGCACACTGTATATGTGTATACATATATACATATATATATAATATACAGTGTGTGTACGTATATGTGTGTGTGTACACGTGCCACCCTCGGTCAAACGCCCTGTATATATATATATATATATAAGTCTCCAACCTCCCCCCCCTCCGCGTGCGCTACACACATGTGTATAGGGTTTAACAATAATCCCTGTTGCTTCCAGTATCCCCTCATCCCGTTCTATTCTCTACCGCGCCACGCGCTGCGCTCCTCGGTTCGCCCGCACGGTTCGTCGACGACGCCGTTTTTCCTTGCCTTACCCCCCTCCATCTTTCAGATATGTCGCACACTGTATATATATATGTATCGCGTATACCTACCTATTGGTTTTTACGACCTATTCTCCGGGATAAGCACTTTTATGCTCCTTGGCCGTTTAATCACGTTCGCCTGGACGCACACGACCGCGCCGCGTCACGCGACGAGGGTTTAAATTTGAAAAGAAAAAAAAAAAGAATTGATACCACTAACGGGCGTGTCGTGCTGTTGTTGGTGGAAAGTCGGAAAGGTATACGATTCTGAGCAGAGTTCGGTCAAACATGTTTTGAAACGCCGTGGTTTTTATGCCTTTCGTCAATATTTAAACTTAATATAACACACTTATAAAAAAAAATACTCTGCTCAAATTATTTTTCTCGACCACTAAGTACGACTTTTGATGAATTTTGTGTAAAATGTTTAAGAATTTATGCTCGGTTGAAACAATTTAATCTGCGTAAAATCTGAAAACATCAAATGTCTATAAATAGTTAAAATTGTTAGGATTTTTTGAACATTTTACCTCGTCTAGAAAAAGTTAATATAATTATCCTGTGAACATGTTAGGTCTCTACGAGAAAAAACTCTGTTAAAAATATAACAGTTTTTTCTCGGTTTTTCAGTTTTCTCAATTTTTGGTTGAAAAGTCGTTAACAGACAGATAAAAAGACACACACCATAGTAAAACCAAAACATTAGTAAAATTAAATTATCAAAAATCTAAAAAAAAGTTGTGTTAGAGCAATGATTCCTTATCTTTTTATTCTATGCGCCTTTGTAGATTTTCTTAAATCTTATTGAAAAAATTGATGATCTTCTTTTTGTATACTTATAACTCTTTTAATATACATTAGTTGTAAAATATAGGTATATATAATATAATGAAATAATTAATTAAGTAAATATGAAATATAAATAATCCGACAAATACATTTTACCGTACAAATTTTATCTTCAAATACGGCTCTACTCATAAGCATACTTCCCCAGAAATGTGTTCACATTTCCTCAGGGGGTGTGCCCTCCGGCAATTCGTTTGCGTATATTTACCTTTTTACGATTCGTTCGAGCACAGCAGCACATTTCCCTTCTCACTTTAATATAGGCTTATCTGTTATCCACAGACGTGATTAAAAATGTGTGTGTGTGTTCGAATGTAATATTTTTCAAACTCTTCGTTAAAATTATAATAATTATAATTTAATTAAGTATACTATTGTCTATTAATAAGCAGTAATAGTAGGTAGGGTCTGCACCATTAGTAGTTTTGGGATTATTAATAGGTTCACAGTCCCATAATTTCGGAGGAAAATTGCTGTCCAAATCAATGTAATTTTCTAAAATATAATCGGAAAACTTAAAAGTAGTACTAGACTTTATACTAGGTGATATCGACATAAGTTCACAAAATTCATCTGAAACTTCTTCAGGAGGCAAATAACTCAGTCCATGAAAACTGTTCATCCATTGACCAATTTCAGAATCATTGTTTTTGTATCCACTTAATAATATTTTGAGTTGAATGTTTTTAAACCAATTTTGTCCTAAATGGAAATTACAACATCCAATTTCGCAACCAGAGGAATAATGTGCATTACTGCATTAATCGCTGCTTTTTCAAAGTCAGCATGAAAATTGCTGACATTTATTCTATTACAAGTAATTTTAATACATATATTTTGTAATGTTTACCACGTATTAATGTAAGTATCAATATGTTTATTATTAAAAAAAAAAGTCACAGGAACATGGAAATTGTTTATATATACGTGGATAGCATAATTTTGAACAAAAGCGTAAGAAAAAGTCCCGTTTCCAAAAACGTGTTCTGCACATTTTAGCAATTTTAAAAAATGTTTACATGTAAATATAAAAAGATTTTCATCGTTATTAGCAAAACAAAACTTATTACCTTTATAAATAAGATTATGTTGAACATCAATTAATTGTTTTCTAGCATCTTCTAAAGATTTGGAAAATATTTTTTTCGGCTTTCATACATGGATCTTCGCATTAATTTCATATTGTTATGTTGCAAATTTTCAAAGTTTTCAGTATTTTGCAATTCTCTTCGTATTAGTTTATATGATTTAATGTGTAAATTGTTTTCGGTTCTACGTTTTAAATTGCTTCTTACTATTTCTCTAATCATTGTTTGCTTATCACACTCGCAGTGATTACGCGTGTTTGTCATTTTTAAAATTTGATTTGATTTATTGATTAAAACACTCGGGGAATATTTTTATTTGTATCTCTAAAATTTGTACCTCAAGATTTTAAAGTTCAATATTCGCTATATTTAAAATTATCTACATGTATACACCGTTTACCTTGACGCGTTTCAAAAACATTACAAACTTGAATATCCATACTGATCTTTTCGTAGTTAGTAGTTATAGTACCGTTTACTGGCGAACAACTGTTTAAAAGTTTGAAACTGTTTTTAACCCATCTATCAATACCTATAACATGTTTAATACGCGCTGATTATTTATGATTTATCGATTTTTGTATTATCGACTAACATATATTATCTTCTTAATAATATTTAATATTATATTTTGCGATAAACTATTTGTATTGTACTTTGTGTATTGTGCCTACCGCATAGTGCATAAATATGCACATTTTTTATAATAAAATAATAATTAAAAATAAAAGTTTTTCAAAAATTCCCATTTTTAATGAGTTGTACCGATAGTTCACTTCACCTGTCACAGACGTAGCTATTCTTAAAAAATGATAATGCAAAAAAGTTAGTGTTGTTAAAATAGCCATGTTAGTTTTTGTTTTAGATAAATTGTATATTATTTATATAGTTTTCGAAAACATTCTCTTTAAATTTCGTAGTGCGCGTTCAATTACGTAACGCACATCATTTTATTTTATTATTATTAATATCAGCTCTAAACAATTGATTTTTTTCCAATTGTAGTTACACACAGTTACGCGCGCGTATTTAATATTGTTTGTTTAAACTGTAATAATTTTTTATTTTTTTACCGGGTTTTTTTTGTTTCCCCCGACGGAGTTTATAATATGAACTCGGTGAGGTAATCAGTTGTTCGTTAATGGCGGTGTTTACAACAGAAAAAAATTTAAAAAATGCTCTCGTCGCGGAATTTACACGGGCCTCATTTTATAGGTTTAAATCGTGTCATATTATTGCGTTCTGTGTACGAATATACGGCCGGGGATGCCTCCGTGGCTGTTATCTCGGTACAATAATACTGCAGGCAGCGTTTTCCGAGCAGCCGTATTCGCATAGGCAGGTAGGCGCACCCACCCACAATTCGTGGATTGAAAATAATGTTTCATTATAATTATTGCAGTGCGTCTACTCGTTTCGCCTCGCCCCGGAATTTCTGCGCGCCGTGTCCGACGAAATTAAATAGTTCACCGCCGAGTGGACTATGCGTGCACATATTATTATACAGTTTACGTATTAATATTATTGTTGCGCATACCTCCCGCGCCCGATTTTTACTCATTCCGCCGACGCTTTTTACAAAACCATTCGACCCATTCTCCCCGTCCGGCGGAGACGGGAGCGATTCCCCTCGGTTCTACCGCGCGCGCACACATTGGTATTTTCAGTTACTCAGAATCGGAGTTATTTATAATAAACGATATTTTACAATATTATCGCGCGGAGTTGATATTACGATAGTATTATTCATTTAAAAGTTAAATTTTTAATTACGTACAAATTATCATTTTTTCTTAATTATGAATTTTTTTTTTTTTTTTTGCTATAATGAATAAATATAATTTTATCGTATATTTTATACAATTGATAATTAATCACTAATCAATTAATTGATAAATAATTAAAAACTGAATAATCATATTATGAAACGTAATCTAATTTTGGGTTTATTAGATAGACAATATTGTGTGTCTATACCGTGTCTACTTTTACGTAAATATGTCCTTGATTATAGTGTCGTCAGAAATGGGCAAAATATTTCAAAATTGTTCTATACCGTATCTACGTATTGATTTTAGTATTTAGTTAAAATAGTATAAATTACGACAAATTTTGTATTTTGTACACAACTAAGTAAGTACCTATACATAAAAAAAATTACACAATACTAAGAGGGGGGGAAGGTTATCGCCTCTATCGCCTCCCTCCTTGTATACGCCCCTGACCACAGGGCGATTTTACCTAGCTACAATATTGTATAACAATAATAATTTCTTCTTTTTGTCAACGAAAAAACAAATTAAATATTTATGGGGTAGAATATAATAATATTATGTAATTGGTTTTACCTTTTTTGTGAGCAGGAGAGCGTATGGTCGTCGAAATAAATTACTAATTACTATTTTACCTAGGTACCAGCTTTCCTATATACCTACGGAAATATATATGTACACTGCAGTTTGTTTATGGTGGACCGCATAAAGTTTATCTAAAATTTAATCTGTAAATGTGTCATAAATATAGTATAAATGCCAAAAAGCTAAAACGAGATAAATTCACAATTTATAGGTAGGTAATGCACTCGCATTTGTCATTATTAATGACGTTTTACTGCAGAAAATACCAAATTTAAATGTATAAGCGTTCGCAAATGTCATGTTTTTGAAACTATGTAAACTATATTATATACTTTTACGTCTGCAGGAGATATAATATATTATCCAAATTGAGTGTATGTATGTATATTTTATGTAGGTATATCTATACCTACATAAAATATTTGAGTTTCAAAACTATTAGATAAGTACTATGTACTCTGTTTTAGCATAATATTTTTGATCATGTCATGCGTTGGTAGTATCCATGTATCAAATATTTAACAGAAAAATAAAAAAAAAAAATGAGGATATTAGGAAAAAAAAGTCTTCGAAACTTGGTACTGAGGAAAGTTATTACATAAATAAACTGGATAAAAAAAACGTTAAATGAAGAGGTGTACCATAGGATAAGAATTTATGAACAAGACATCTCATAAGGAATAATACATATAAATAACTACGATAATAGAAGGGAAATCATTTTTTTAAAACTTGAATGTGACGTATATTAATGTATCTGTATTGGTTTTGGTTATCTATTTGGATAATTATGATGATCAATCATAATATGATTAAATGATCAATTATGGATCACTCATAAATATTATATTTAAATGTATTTGGAGATTAAAGGTTGTCGTTTGAAAATCACAATCAAAATTGATACTTATTGGTAAATAAGTATGAATACCTACAGGCATTGTAATTTAAGTGTGTAAATGTCAAACAATTTTATCATAATATATATTGTATTATATTATTTATCGATGGCTAACGAAAAACGATTCTGAAATATGTTTTGAAAGTCCACTTTTACGATTTTCGTCAAAAATTGGATTCACAACGGTTATAAAAAACAAAGGACGTACATACTTCGCACGTGGATGCAGCCACTGTTGTAGGCGGGAAGTTGGGAAGGTAGGATACAGACCGGAATTTAATGTATATCAGTAAGAAACGATAAACCATTGCTAACGAAAAAACGAGTTCAGTTGATAGTGTTGCTTTGTTAACAATATATATATATATATATATCATATTATAGTACAATGCATTTCCATGACAACAATTATTGTTTAAAAAAGATAAAAATAATAAAAACTTAATGACAACCTTATTTTTAATGTTTCAATCTTTTTAACTAAAGAACCAGGTTTTCCTCATTATCTCGAATATTAATGAGAATTTCAAAAAATAACCTCCCTAAAGTACCACCTCGAGAACATTTTCTTTCAGAAAACGTGCTATACTTGATAATCGCAGTAAGATTTCTGGAAGAAAAAGTGTTCACATAAAAAAAAAATAAACATCTTTGTAAAACCAATACATTATTCGCTAAACCCAGAATCTAAAAATCGCAAAATTACCTAAATTCATTTTTTACTCAGATATGGTGGTTAATATTTGAATACCATTGTATTCTGATGAATACAGTGGTATTCATTTAACTAATGCATAATTTGATTCAACGCTTATATTAAAGTATTAAACCATTCATATACTGTATATTTTATAGTACCCATAACGTAGAATAAGCTACACTCAGTTTTATTAATATGTGTTTTTTCTCAGATAACACTTTTTTCGATTAGTAAAAAGGCTACGATTTTTTCACGCAATACTTTAAAAGATGCGGAAGTTCCACCAATCGATTCTTTACTTGAACATTTTTTCTCGATTCCTGAAAGTTTTTTTGTAAATAATAATAAAAAAAAAAAACCGTCAACAAATGACGACGATACAATTGGTTTTATTTTTGTTTTACAAGTTTTACTATGGTTACGAGGAAAAAAAAAATCACGACTAATTCACTATAACCTTACCGATTTACGGAGCTCTACTCAGAATCGTTCCCTGATTGCTTCCCACTTACAACAGTGGTTCAACCTTGCTGTGAAATATGGCCAGCATTTTAATCTCGTTCTTGATATTTACAATACCTATACTTATTTTAATTCTAAATTCCATCTAATATTACTTTACAAGTTGGCGTGCATCAGCGTTTTCGCGACTGGGTCAATTTATTTCAGATTTTGTTTTTTATTAATGTTATTTCTAAGAAAATTTAGTTTATTCATTTTACGAAATTTGTTGTCTGATAAATTATGCCAATAATATCAAACAATATTATGAGACATGATTGAAATTTTCATAATAAAATCATATTAAATTGTTCGGAATATTTAAAATAGCATCGGAATTGTATTGTACCGTTTTCAATAAATGTCAATTATTGAAGACTTCTTCAAAGTTTGGAAAATTAGACTAAATAAAAAGGCTATTGAAAATAATAATAATTATTAAGACAAAAATGCAAGTTTCCTATTAGCGTATATTTTTTATTTGTTATCATATATTATTGATTATTGAAATTATTTTCTTTTTCCTCAACTCCACATAAGAATATATTTTTTTAATAATTTAACAATTTTAATTTTAAAACATTGACGGATTTAGACTTTTATTTTGAAGGAGGAAAAACCATTTACAACATTGAAAATTGATATTTTACTACAATACAAGAAAAAAGAGGAGAAAATTACCCTATTACCCTCCCCTCTATTTAATTTTCACACAATTTATTGTTATCGAAAGATAACTACAATATTGCTATCTTAATAATTCGAATTGTGTAATGGAATTAAAAAATCACTAACATAATATTATTAAATATAATGGGAAAACAACCTTGTCATTTGTTCATTGAATTTTTTTTTTATTACTAATACGAAATGTTTAGCCCCAGTCTAAATATTGTTTTCGAAAACAGATTAATAAAAAAATTAATCACCTAAAGCAGTATATTTCCCAGCCTACGATAGGTATGAATACAGAGTGTACCA